ATTCCTGTTACAGCGATATTCTTATTTTTTACATCTGATAAATTTTACTTGATTCAAGATGTTTATTTCGAAGTGCATTATTTCGGTATCCTCATTGTAACTTGAGACAAGAACTTTTTTAAAGACAAGTTCCATAAATACTGTTATAAATAGAACCTATTAAAAAATTCCAGAACTTTTTTCATCCCTGCTTTTTCAACATTCTTACGTTCCGCGGATCTCGAAAAGAATTGCGTAAAAATTCACTGGAATAATTTCGGTTGTTAAAATGTTAAATCGAGCATATAAATTATTTCCATCGATATTGAAAGCCGAAAAAAGGGGCAGACAAAAACACGTATCGGATGGCGATATAAGAAAAAGTTGTTCGAACTTGAACACTGATGGCCTTTCCAAGGTCATCGGCATTATTTTGCATATTGTAATTGGTTTCTTACAATCTGTTGTTGTAGTCGACATCAAAACGAGTTGTGGAACCTATAAAACTACGACCATGATAACCTTCAAGATAAGGAAATGTTGCGTAAAGCGTAGAAAATACAAAAGACTTCGAACCGGAAAAATTGTACGACTTACCGGCTGATGTTTCGATTAATCATTAAAAACTAATTAACGTTTTGAACGTCAAACGGCGGAGATCGGGTCCACTTCGAGCCTAAGTATAAATATTACCTGATTATCTAGTTTCTGACAATTTATTTAAACTTTCGCATGTTGCATTCGTGTCTATAAAAACGCTAACGTGCCAAAAGTAATGCTTCAAAAAAAAAATATCCCGATAGAAATTGTTGTACAAAATTACAAATAATCCTAAGCATACTCACGCTTTTCTCAAGAAGGTCTGCCATACGACTATTAGCATGATCGAAATTCAATAATGTATTCGTCATAGATATAATGATATTATAGATATAATGATATAATCTGATTGAACGTATTCGTAAATAAATAAGTAGAATATTTCAAACTATACAATTCGCTGCGTAACAATCGCGATTGGAGTCTCCCCCAATGATCTAACATGAAAATCATCTTTCTTTCCCAGGACGAACCGACTTCCGTGGTGAAACGTGTGACCGTTCTGTTGGCCGTTGAAGTCGAGGTCCTCGAATCCGGTGTCTATGAGCCCGTGAAAGCCAGTGCGACGATGTCGTCGAGTGGTGAATTTTCGACGCTGTCAAGCGGTGAAGTGACCGGGACAGGCGATGACTCGTTGCCAAGCTCTCGGGAAGCAACCGCGGAGGCAGCGAACTCCGGGGGCGGATTTATGCCTCTGCGCGAGTTCCTGGACAGATTCTCGTTACCAAGGGTGGTTAGGGTTGAAGGCGCCGGTGGGAGACCGATACTCCTCTACAAGCAACAGCAACGATCGCTCAGAGTCACGGCCACCCTGCTGATGCACCGTTACCGTCACGACGTTAAAGTCGGACCGGAAATCGTGATCCCGGAAGGATACCCCGGTGAGTACCTCCGCCTTTCCATTTCTTCCGTGAACGTTGTCATAGGAAAGTCGGGGATCCGAAAGCTTTCGGAGATAATCGTTCCGAACTGTTATTTAATTTAATTTAATTTATTTTATTAGGATGCTTCGTACCATGTGCACCCGCTTTTGAGAGCCGATTGTACGGCTAAACGTTCTATCTGTCTTCGTTTATGAGATATAATGATTTTTGTACGCGGAGACATCTATCTAAAAATAAAAGAGAATATAATATTTTTTTATTGAAAATACTGAGATACTAAGAAATAGAATTGAGCAGGACTTCCAACAGATGCGAGAGATGATAGAGAGAGAGAGAGAGAGAGAGAGAGAGAGAGAGAGAGAGAATATGAATGATAATAAAGAGCTAATTACTAAAAAAAAATTTATTACATATCAGAAACGGAGGCTGATGAGACATGTACCTATATGACATTTTTATATATTATATACAATATATAATACAATAATACAATATATATTATTATATATATTATATATAATATAATATAATATGATATAGTATAATATAATATAATATAATATAATATAATATAATATAATATAATATAATATAATATAATATAATATATTGTATTATTGTATTATTGTATTATTTGTATTATATTATTATATATTATATATATATTATATATGTAATATATATAATCACATCCTTGATAAAATTAACACGTATATATTCAATTATATATGCAGTCAATTTTACCACTATTGTTGCTAATAAATGTAAATGTCCTGTAAAACAGGTAAGCCTAACTAAATCTCGATTAGTACCGTGAGGTTTTAAAGAGCAGTGCGACAAGATAAGCATTAAAGTAACGCTAGGATTGTTCGTCATACCAGATACAACTTCAAAAAATTCAAGAGACTTAAGAGAATATATATTCATTAAGGACATCAGTGTACGGGTAACCCTGACATAACTCTATATAGTACCAACGTAATATCGGTTCTAAAATATCAAAATTGAAACCCATATACGTCATAACAATTATGAGTCTCCTTCGGTTCTCTGTAACTGTTTAAAGAGTCAAGACAAATGTCATAATCGTTTCCAACCCCCTTTAAGAAATACACGTTGCGCGGAAACTCTCTGAACTCGCTAGGACGAAAGGGAAATTATACTTCTCTTCGATACGTACGCACACCGAGCAATTAGTGGTGGCACGCTATCCCCACCCGTTCCTAGAACGGTGTTCATGGTTTCTACGTATCGCACTGGCACCGGCAGACACTTATTAGCGTTTTTCGCTGTGCTTCTCAACTTAGGCGATCGAGATGGGAAAGGAATAATAAGGTTGTTCGTAGAACTCTACCTATGGAAATTGGCTTTTTTTTCTTAAGCCGATGCGTAGTGTGCAGAGGCAAGTTGATGAACGGAGGCTAAGAACACTCCACTCATTTCGTTTGCCTTCGATGAATTCAGAAACAAATTTTTTTCTCAATTTTCTCTCTCTCTATATTGATACTCATAGAAGACCGAGCATTAATTAATTTTTGTTGGAAACAGTTTTCTGTCAGAGCACCAGAGATGACTGAAAAATTACGATAACATGTGAATAATAAATGATGTTAAAATACACATGTAAAAATACACTACAAAACAAATTCGTATAAAAAGAAGGGAAAAAATGTCAGCTACGAATTGTTTTAAAAATGAACTGCTCAAAGCGACCATGAATAATCGTGAATATCACACGGATAACAGTTCAATATATACATTAACAAATTACCAAGGAGTGTTCACCATACGTCCATACAAAAAGAAGGAACAAGGTACGATAAAAATCCTCGAATAATATCGGTTCGACGAGACGTTAAACTAATGCGATTTATTAGACCGCTGTTAGCCAATTTCTACGCGCATGTAGCACGGTAATTTACAATCGTGTCGCAATATAGTATCTGAAAATTTAATGAGGATCCGTCAACGGTACCGGCGAGAGAACAATGGCGATCGTATTACGCCGCGCGTCTCGCGAATACAATGCGAGTTAGAAAATTCATACGGACAGGTTCGGCGTGGCAGGGGTGGCTTAGTATGCGGCTTACACTGAATCCGTGGACGGGATGGAATTTCGTTATCCGTGCAATCTGTAAATACAGTAAGTAAGGGCGTTCGGAGAAATGGCCGGCCGAGATTTCTATCATTCTCGAATCGGCGCGCAGTGTCTTTTAGCATTCGGGACAGCTGGAACTTTTCCCTGGCCGATAAATCAAGTCAAGGAGAACCGTCAAAACGCTGGCCGGAGAAAAAGCGAAAGCCAATAACCGTGGAGCCAGAAATTCATTAAACCGCGGCGCGCCGGTGGCGCTTAATGGACCGCGAGGTATCCATAACTGCATAGAATTGACCGGCGCGCGGCGGGCCGGGCCGGGTCGGGCCGTGCCGAGCCGAGCCGAGTCAAGTCGGGCCGCGCCGCGGCGCGGAGTGTCGATATATCGATCACGTCGACGGCGATGATCGATCGAGCGCGCGAATCCTATCGGGAATTCGATCTCGGATTAAAGGCATTGCAGCTGCTTGCACAAGATCGCGGCCAAGAAAGCCGCCGATTAATAAACTGTTCCTTTGATCGATGAAAACGTTTGCAGTTTCCATCTTTGGTTTTTCTTTCGTTTTTCTTTTCTTATCTTGCGACCTTTTTCTTTTGTATTTTCTTTCCGATCGGTTCTTAACCGGTCGACATGCTTTTTTGTCGAACCTTTAATGTCCCGCCAGTTGGTTTTCTTGGCTGTTATTTCTTCTACCGGATATCAAATGCCCTGATCAATTGTTTCAAGAATGAAATAGCTAATGATAGATTTCGATGCGCTTTTAATAGAGCGACGCGAATAATACTTTCGTTTTGTATAATAGCAGAGAGAGACAGGGGGAATTTTATAATATATGTGAATTGGTTTTTTAATTCATGGTCTTGAATGAAGACTGTACAGGGTGTCCCAAATCGAAACCGACAAACTCTGCCGATACGTTGGGGAGGTCATTCTCTGCAAAAAATGTTGCACACTCCGTAGGTCGGTTCACATCCGTTTTCGAGATTAATACAAATATTCAACGATAATAAGTGATTAATGATGATAATACATTACATTATCTTAATACAATACATTACATTATCTTCAAGTCAAATTATCAACATTTCCATCCATATTTCGGAAATGAAGACGTATCGATCAGTCGTTTATGTAAATTTTTTGCTGAGAATGATCTTATGAACATGTTAACAACATTTAACACCTTTTCTGGGATACACTGTATATTTATTTTGGAATTGCAATGCTTGATTAAGATTCTTGGATAGAAACAACAGATGTAACGTTACAAAATTGCTTCGAAAGAATTGCAGAAAGAGAATTAAGATTATTAACAAGATAACTGAAAATTGTTCATGTTTCTGTTCAAAGAAAACAGTTCTAATTACTTAAAAATTATATTTAAACGACAATGAATTTTCATAGCAATTTTGCATCGCTGATAAGTTTTTTTACATATGAGTTACCAATATATTTTTAAGTAAAAAAACACTAATATGGAAAGAAGAATGGTTATTTTATATATAATACATATGCATATGGCATAAACGATTGTATCGCAATAGTATTAAAAAATTGATCAAGGATCCGTCAATCGTTTTAGCACGATCGTATGCAAAGAACGGCCAAATTGATTTACCACACGCGATTGAGAATGCTTGTTAAACAATTTAAGCGGTAAGCATTTCGAAACCTATGTAATTACAGATCGTTAAGATCTTGTGGGCGATAGATATGTTAATCGAGAAGCATTGTATCTCGTTACCTAGTGTCATAATTCATATTCATTCAGATAAATGTGTTATTATGATATTTCTCGCAGTTCAGCTTTCCTAAATAGATTACCGCCAGAATGAAAATATTTTCTTTTTTATTAGCTCCAAAAAAATTCATTCGTCAACAAAATTATTTCTTTTCACCGAGTAAATAGAACGCCATTTTTTAATTCCAGCCTTGTTCATTCTTTTAATATATGTTCAATTATGTCGCATATCGTTTTTTAAAATAAAATTTCTAGATTTCCATTTATTATTATAAATTTTAATGGTACAAAGTCAAAGCCCTCTTCGCATCGCGTATTCCTTTTTGTTGATCAAAATTCTATATTAATTCGAATATAATACAGGTGTCGCATATTCTTTTCTGTTAAAAAATAGTATTTAATAATTATGAATAGTATTTAATAATTAGAATATAGTAAAAGAATCGTATTTCAGAATACTTATATATTAACTAGAGTAGAATGCAAGTCCTGGTGTAGATCATTTCCAGTGATACAAAGACACAATTTTTGATCTCGTTCGGATAATTTTATAAAGCAAAGCTCGGAATTATCGGCACGCAACATAAGGACCGCGAGGACTATTTCTCTTGACTGTGTTCGCCTGTGTTCGCTTAAATGCTATGCGCACATAAACACAACGCACTCGCGCACACACACGCACATAAGGCATCAGATGCACGCGCGAGGCAAATCAGGAGGCGTAGCTCTCGGGATCCTTATGTTGCGTGCCGATAATACCGAGCTCTGTTTTAAAACGACGAATACAAGCCAAGAAAATATGTCTACAGTTTCATCATAAAAATTGAAAATTCGATAAA